GTTTAAAATACTGGTCATATAATTTTGTTTCAAAATTCATAGTGATGAGTAAGACCTCGCTGTGAGGATAGAAATGATGAGACATTCAGTAAGCATTGTTACAAAAACGTAAGATATATGAAGCTTACGCTTGATGGCATGACTTAACAATGCAACAGCTCTTCTGCAGAGGATGTGGAAAAGGAAGTTCTTATTTTGAATATCCTGTGAATGGACCTGATGGAAACATGCAGATCACTGGAATTTATCAGATTACCAGAGATCAAAAGTTTTGTAAGAAAAAAAGATGTTTGGTAAGAGTAGGAAGAGAAGCTGGGCATATTGGCATACGCCCAAGGATGAGGCAGGAAGATCGCTGAGAGTTCGAGGCCAGCCTAGGCTACACAGTGCATGGCCAGTCTAAACTACATAGCGATACCCTATCTCAAAAAATAAAAACAAAACCAAAAGAAACATAAGCTGTGCAGAAATATAGGTGGAATTTAATTTAATTTAAATATAGGGAGTTACGCCTTCAAGCGAGAAATCCCTTTTTTGTAGGTCAGGCCTGATAGTAACTACCCGGGTAACATACTTTACGTGGATAAAATAAATGTTGGTTTAAAATGAAAACTGTAACAACAAAATCTCTCATGCAAGCTCAGGAGGCCAGATTGTTGCCCAGCTGGGCGGGGCTACCACGCCCCTCAGGGAGCCGAAACAGGCACCATCGAGTCGCGGTCTTCCAAGGTCCTAGAGTGGAGTGGCAAGCAAGCCAGGTGTGTCGTGTAGTGGCGCGTTTGGCGCTCCGTGCCCAGGTGGGTTTCCTGGGGAGGCTTTAGGTTTGAGTTGGAACCGCAAGGACAGCCGGCGGGACTTGGGTGTGGCCTGTTCTAGAGGTACAGAGTAGCCCTTCCATAGAGGAGCTGCGGGGGCTAGGCCCTGGGTGGTTTTGCGGGGCCGGGAGGCGAGATCCGAGGCCTGGGGCCAGAGGTGGTCGCAGCCAGGCCAGTGGCGCTGGCAGGGAGGATCTGGAGAGATTAGGCGCGAGGGGTAGGAAAAGGCATTATGTTGTGTAAGAATTTGGGTCTTTCCTTGGTGAGAGTTTCTGGAGGGCTTTAAGCAGTGGAAAAACGTGATCTGACTTAGGTTTACAACAAAGCATCTGTAGCTGGGAAATCCTCACGAGAACAAATTGGGAAGTAAAGACAGTAGGGTCTGTCGTGTTGTAGGTGTGGTTCGTCTGGTCAGATTATTCTTTTCTACTGGATCAGTTACCGAGTTCAAAAATAAAAAAAAAAAACAAAGATAAACACAAGAAGGCTTGCGGATGCAAGAGGGATAGGACGAGAGATCTGAGGCCTTTGGGACCTTGTGTAAATTCTTAAAACTGTCCATGTTCGATTCCTTCTGTACAGTGAGGTTAAAGAAGATAATTCTATATAGGGTTGTGTGGAGACTAAGTGAACGAATGCAAACTGTTCATTCCTCCTGAAACATTTGGAAGTAAGTTTCAGCGTGCAACTTCTGAGTATAAGGATATTTTTTTCTTAACCACAAGCTATTTTTTCATCTGAGGAAATTCTGTGTTGGGGTCGTTAGCCGTTTCCTGTGAAGGGCCAGACAGGAAACATTCTCAGCCTTGTGTGCGGTGTGATCCCAGTACCACCACTCGGTTCTGCCGCTGTGGAGCAGAAGCCGATGTAGTACTGCTTGTGCAAGTTAGTGTAGCTGTGTTACAGTAAATGAATACGAAACGAAGATTTGGGCCGTTTGGTCCTTTGTGCAATAGTTTGCCTACCCGATTCTGGTATATTATCCATATTCAGATTTCTGAATGCGTCAAAAAATTTTTGAAAAAAAAATTGTGGGCTTTAAAAAAATTAACGTGTGGTGTTTTGTTGTCTTTTGTAGATGAATTACATTCTGGATTTATCTCAAAATTTCTCTTTACTGGATTCATGGTAAACATTTTTAGTAAAAATGATATGTAGTTGACAAGATCTACTGGTGTTGTTGTTTTTGATATTTGATTAAGTATGTGACTCCCAGAGAGCTCCGTTTCTCCCTGTGCACACAGTAGTACACAGTTGGTATGGTGACTCTGGAGATGGAGAAGGTCCTATTCTTTTTTTGTTTTGTTTTGTTTTGTTTTTTTGGTACCGGAAATTGAACTCAGGACCTCATGCTTGCCAGGCAGGTGCTGTGCCATTGAGCTAAATCCCTAACCCAAAGTTCCTATTCTTTCACTTTCTTTATCCAGTGGTTTTAGCAATCACTTATGGTTCTTACTTGAATCATTTATTTTGAGGGTTATAAAATGTTCATTTTTAAAAACTGTTATTCCTGCTGTTAGCTGACAGGCTTCTGTAACAGTTTTCTCATTTTGTTTATATGCTTAGGAAAGAAAGGCTATACTGGAGATAAGCAACTGAATAGTAGTAAACTAGTAAACCTAAGAAGGAATTATTGCTATTCTTATTATATGATTATTATTGTATTTTTAGGACTACCCTTCAGGTTACAGCCAAAAGAAAATTCTCCAGAGCAGAAAGAGCAGCCTGGAACTGGGGATGGCTACCATGCTGGTGAGTGTCTATTCCCTGGCTCCCTGAATCTGAGAGGGAGCCTTTGGTCATGAAGAAAGATCAGCGTGTTACTGGAGATTGGCCAGTGGACTGACTCTGGGGTCCCAACAGGTCCGATTTGGCTTCCCACCACGTCGACAAAGCAGTCACACAGAGACAGTGGAGGTGAAGCATGTCAGGAATTTATTGTTCAGAGTGACCATGTTTGGACGAAACACGGAGATCAGCCAGGGTCTTAAGTCTAAGCCCTGTCTTTGAGGCTCTGATAAGAGCTTCAGCATTATATGGGGCAGGGACAAATGTTGGGGGCAAGAAGTATACACACCCAAGCAGTGGATCAGACTGTGTGGTTGATCATTATCTTGGTTCCTGTTCTGCAGCAATATGTTGCTGGCAGCAGGCAGATCATTATTGCTTGAGGGGTTGTGAGTCCCTGTCGCAAGATGACTGCTCCGCCTTGGATTGAGGGACAGTCTTGATTCTTATCATGGTGGGGGTCACTCCTGGCTGGGGGCAGGCTCAGCTCCTATTATGGGGTGATCTGCCTTCAGGACTCTCTGTTCCTCGAACCTTATCTTGGTGTTTTTAGCCTTGAAGGGAGCCCAGGGAGGCTGGTTAAATTTATGGCGGATTGACCCGGCATTACCAGATTTTAGAAAGACACTCCTTGAATGATTCAATGTCTATGTGTAGAGTTAAGCAGAAATCAGACTCACAGTTTGAGGTAGCAAGGGAGACAGAGTCAGGCCAAAGTTAAGACTCGGTGCTTTTAGCAAAAGCAACCATTAAGTCTGTGTTACAACTACTCTACTTGGGAACAGGGACTCCGGCTGCAAGGAAACAGCAAAGACCTTGGACAGGCGCCATTGTGCAAACAATTCAGGCAGTTGCGCTATGAAGAAACTGCAGGGCCCCGGGAGGCACTGCAACGGCTCCGTGAGCTCTGCCACCAGTGGCTGCAGCCAGAGACCCACAGCAAGGAGCAGATCCTGGAGCTGCTGGTGCTGGAGCAGTTCCTGGCCATCCTGCCGGAAGAGCTGCAGGCCCAGGTGCAGGAGAAGCATCCTGAGAGCGGGGAGGACTTGGTGGTTTTACTGGAAGACTTGCAGCTGGAACTTGGAGAAAAAGGACAGCAAGAGGTAAAGGTCAGATACGATTTTGAAACTTCTGACCAGACATGTGGACATGAGTGCAGAAGTAGGTAGAGAATTGCTAATCTTTGATTCTGTTTCTTTCTAGTCTGGATCTTAACCTCAACATCACCTCTCCTCTTCTGGGAGAAGCTGAAGGTGCTCCACGTTCTCTATCCCTTTTTTCCCCCTTTTGGGTTTCTCTTTGTCTCCTTTCCAGTCCTGAGTGTTTATCTGAAGGACAATTTCCTGAACCCACATGTGTGTCTTTTCATTTACCTCATTGTCTCTAGGGCCCAGACCAGGAAAAGAAGCAGTCACTGCTTGTGGAAGCCCCAGGCCCTCTGAGTGCAGTGCAGGCGCAGCAGGTCCTACCTGGGTATGAAGGTCAGAAGCCTGAGAAGAAGCAGGGTAAGACCAGTGCTGCCTCTCTTAATTTGAGGTGGGATAGGGTGTGTGTGGTCCTCTGAGGCCCTACACAAGCACACATGGTGTTCTGTGTTTTGTTTAGGGATTTATTGAAGTATAACTTACATGAGTAAAAATGTACTCTTTGTATTAGTCAGTGAGTTTCCACAAATGTGAAATGAATATGTCCCTCAGCACCACAAGCAAAATATAAAAGATATCCATTACCCCAAACCTTTTAGTTCTACAAACACTAAAGAAAACCGAATCTGGCCCTTCACTTTACTTGCCTTCCCTTTACTGAGGAATGGATTAAAAAAAGAAAAGTAGTGCTAAAGGGGATGGATATAATCAAAGTATATAATATTCATGTATAAAAATACCACAATGAAACCAATATTCTGTGTAATCAATATGCACTAAGAAAAAGGAAAAAACATAGGGCTGCTTTCTCAACAAAGGCAAAAAATCTCAGCCACATATTTCATTACTCATTTTTTAATCTCCTTCAAATTATTGTAAATGGCATGGTTTTAAATTTTAGACTTGACGATTTTATTTCTGCATTTTGTCACTGAAACCTCTTCACTTTGTATTCCTTACATTTTGTTTTTTTTTTCCTTTATAGTCATTATAACACGTGCTTGTCGCGCTCACCCTCTTTCTTTGCTTTAATATCATTTTGGTACTTCCACTGACGTTTAGTTACTTCCTGCTGTTTCTCCATCATTTAAAAGCAAGTTCATTGCAGGTGTGGTGACACACACCTGTAATCCCAGCACTCTGGAGGCTGAGGCAGGAGGATTGCTGTGAATTTGAGGACAGCCTGGGCTACATAGTGAGTTCAAGGCCAGCCTGAACTGCATAGTGAGACCTTGTCTGAAAAAACAAAGAAGAAAAAAAATTATTTATCCCCTGCTTAATGTTTAACTGAGCTTATTGTTATCCTTTTTACTTTTTTGTTTTTTGCTTTTTTGAGAGAGGGTCTCACTATATGGTCCAGATCAACCTTGAACTCTATGTAGTCCATGCTGGCCTTGAACTTCTGATATGTCTACCTCAACTTCCCAAGTGCTAGGATTATAGGCATTTATCACCATACCCAGATTGGCTTTTTTTTTTTTGGTTTTTTGAGACAGGGTCTCACTATGTAGTTGAGACTGACGTGGAATTCACTATGTAGCCCAGGCTGGTCTTGAACTCACAGCAATCCTCTTGCCTCAGCCTCCCAAGTGCTGGGATTACAGATGTGTGCCACCATACCTGGCCAGATTGGCTTTTTTTGATGTTTGAAACTTTCCATAATAAAAGATAGAAAATAAAAATAAGAAAAAAAAAGCACCATGTGTAGTGATTCCCAGTTCCCAGTAGGAAAAGCTTCACCTAGTGTGCTCTGACACATTCTTAACCCCTCAGCCTCATGTTCACTGTCATAGGCAGTTGGTCCCAATCTTTTTGAGCCCTTTAGCACATCCAAGGAAATCTCTGTCCCAAATTGGGACAATTAGGGCCAGAGATTTAGCTCAGGTTCCGCTGCCTGCTTCACAAGCATAAGTACCCTTGTTCGATCCCTGGTACCAAAAAAAACCCAAAAAACAAAAAACGCCACTTTGAGACAGTTATCCTACATCTCTCCTTCTCACACTGCATAGCCCTTTAATACTGAGCTCTATTTCATTTGCTTTTTGTTATTTTGCCATTATTCCTGCCTTTTTTCTCTTACTTGTAACAGATTTCCCTGATTCTTGGCCAATTCCTACTTAGCACTCAAGACCTATGTTACATGTTACTTCCTTTATCCTTCCCCCAAGTTTGGGTTAGTTTCTTGGCCTGTGCTCCTAGAGCGCTAGGATTTCTTGTAATGACCTTTTTGTTTTGTTTTGTTTTTTGAGGCACGGTCTCCCTTTGTAGTTCAGTCTGGCCCTCAACTCGTGGCGATCCTCCTGCATCAGCCTCCTGAGTGCTGGGATTAAAGGTGTGCACCCCCATAGCTGGCCTTTTTTTTTTTTTTTTCGGTACCAGGGATTAAACTGAGGACCTTGCACTTGCCAGGCAGGCATGGTGCCACTGAGCTACATCCCCAGCATAATGATCACTTATATACCATAGATTTGGCATACTTCTCTTTTTCTTAACAAGCTGAAAAGGCAAGGCTTTGTTTGTTTGCTGAGTCTGCTGAATGTCTACTGATGAATGGCTGATTTTATTTGCAAAGCCATCTATTCTGCTCTCAAAAGTGAAAATTCCAAGTCTACTTTGTGACTCAAATCAAACTCTTAGCTGTGAACCCTTGTGCAAATTTACATTCTTACAATATACAATGGCACAGGGTAAAATTTTCCATTCCAAAAGGGAGGAATGGGGGCATAGAAAAAAAGAATGGGGCCAAAGTAAGACCAAAACGCATTAGGGCAAACACAAAATCCTGTAGCTCAATGTCTAGCATCTTTGTCTGCAACTCTGCCCTTATGCCATACCTGTTGTAGCATACATGACTTTTCTCTTGGGTTGGCTCTACAGCTTTCCTCAGTAGACCTTCCACATGTCAGGAACCTCCACCTTCCTGGGATCTCCTGTACAGCTTTGCTTCACTCTCACAGCCTTGAGTATCACCGTTGCAGGAGCTCTGCGAGGAACCCTGCCCCTGCCACACATTGCCTGATCTCCCAAGCTTTTCTTTACAATCTAACTGGAAGCATTTGTGACCTCATAACTCTTGAATAATGCATGCCTATAAAACCAGCATCATATGGATGACACTAAGGTTTGCAGCCAGCTTTAGCAGTAGCTGAGCCCCCTTAGAGCATGGCTCCAGTGTCTTCTGAGTGTCCGAATGGCTGAGCATGGTGGAATGAATCTTGGGGAAACACTTCCTTAGGTATCTTCGAACAGGCATTCCTGCTGCTCTCTGCTCAAAGCAAAGTCTTTCAAGGGAGTTTACATTTTTATACCTTGTATCCGTTATGAGTAGGACCTGGCCAAAGCATCTTTCCTATTGTCCTGCTGCACAATAATTGACCTCTTTTTTCGGTACCGGGGATTGAATTTAGGACCTTGCACTTGCAAGGCAGGCAAAACTTGGCCTTTTTTTTTAATGGCATTAATCTCAATAGCAACCATCCCTCCTTTGTCTTAATTTTGCTTGTACTTCCTTTGTACCCAAACTACAAGTTTTTCAGATTTTTTTGCTTCATTTTTTTTATTCCTGATTCTTAATATAAATCTGGCTAAAAGCACACAGCAATACCCATCCTACAGGCTGAATGCTGTATTGTCTTGAAATTTTCTTAACTAGATAGATTAATTCGTCACCTTTAAATTCAGCCTCCCACAAATTCTCAGAGCATAAACAAATTGTAGACGAGTTTTCTGTCAGAATGTAACATACGTGACCGCTAGTGCGCCTGATAAAGTCCTTATTCTTCTGAAACTTCACAAGTAGATGTTTCCATCTGCATTCCTTCAGCATTCTGGTCTTTTGAGCTCACACCAGAATTACCCATTTACCTCACTTACCCCATTACATCTTTGCAAACTCTTCTTGCAAAACAGTTCCAAAAGCTTTTGAACCACAGCATCAGATACAGTCACAGCATCAGCAACTCTTCTTCTTGGTACCGATTTTATATGTTAAGTCAGCTTCTGTTGTTGTGACAAAATACCTGAGGTAAACACCTGAAAGGAGGAAAGCCTTCTCCTTTATTTTTAGCTCATGGTTTTAGAATTTTCAGTCTATGACTATCTGGTTCCTTCGGTTCTGGGCCTGTGTTAAATAGAACATCATGGTGGAGGGTGTGGCAGAGGAAGACTGCTCACCTCATGGAGGAGGTGACACAGGCATGAGGATAAAATGTACCTCTTGACACACACCCTCAGTGACTTTTTCCAACCAGGCCTTGCTTCCTGAAGTTTCTACCACCTCCTACTAACACCTTCAGCTGCAACCAAGCTTTCAGTGCTTGAGTGTTTGGGGTCTTTTAAGATCCAAGCCATAACACTATCATTTACCTGCTGTCTATTTCCTTGCACACAAGAGTCTATTTCAAAGGTCTGCTTATGTGGGGAGCCTTCTGAGTCAAGTAGCTGGCAAAAAGAGGCCTGCCTTTTCTAAACAACTTTGCAGAGTGAGTTTAATAACCGTAGTTCTTGACAATGTTCCTTACCCTGTGGATCTGGTGAAAATGTACCTTTATATTCAAAGTTCAGGTTATTTTTGGGTTTAATGTTTCTCCTTCCTTTTGGTTATATGTCATTACTGGAAAAGGTTCTTTTGCTTGTAACGTCTTCACTTTCACTTGTGGCTCTCATCTACTCTTAATTATCTGCTACCTCTGTCTTGTGCATACTTATTATTAATTTATTAGTGCTGCTTAGAGTCTCCTCATCTGATTTTTCTACCCACTTCCCCTGTTGCTTCTCATTCTTACAGTGCATCCCTGTTATGCTTTTTGGGCATTAAAAGACTTAACCCAGAAATCCATTCTTCTCACCCTTCTGCACATGTGTCTGAGCACGTTTTTCTTCTTTGTCAAGTAATTTCACCCTTCAAATGTAAGCCATTTATTTATCAAACAGTTGTTTAATATCTATATTTGTTTATGCATCAGGAACTATGCTAGAGAAAATAAAGTCTGCTCTGCTTATGCTCACAGTCTCCTGAGGTTTTGAGGGCTGTGGTGGGGGAGACAGACATAGGAACAAATTATTACAGCATTGGAAGGGAAAAGATCTCTTAATCCACACAGGAAGGATCAGGAAAAACGCCAAGGCATTTTTGTGAACATATTACCCTTAAGGTCTTTTCGTCCCATATTTTAGTTATATTGATGAGTAGTAAGTAGGACTTACTACTTTTCTAGGGTTACATAGATACCAGTAGTTGATAAAATTGGTACTATGTCTATATTTTTTCATTCTTAGTTAAAGTACCTTCATAATAGCCCAAGGGTCCTCAATGGCCCTAGCTTTTTATTTTCTATGTGATAAATCATTTTCAAAAATTACAGTCGTGCCATTTAATACAGTTGGTTTGCTTGCCTAGAGCTGTTCTATGGGTGTTAAGTATCATATGGTAAAATTTAAACCACTGAAAATAAATCAGAGCCAGGCATGGTGGTGCATGCCTATAATCCAGCATTTGGGAGGCTGAGGCAGGAGGATTGCTATGAGTTCAAGGACAGCCTGGGCTACATAGTGAATTCCAGGCCAGCCTCATATTTACATAGTGAGACCCTGTCTCGAAAGAAAAGAAATGAAGGAAGGAAGGAGGGAGAGAGGGGGAGAGGGAGGGAGAGACAGAGAGAGAGGGAGGGGGAGAGAGAGAGAGAGAGAGAGAGAGAGAGAAAAGAAAGAAAAGTTACCACCAAGCACAATTCCTTAATCTTCGCCCAAAGCAGTCACTGTTAACAATGTCTTATGTATAATTCTATACATGTGTTATAAAACAAGAAACTACAGTCATTTTACTTTGCATACCTGACTTTATTTACATTGTTTCCTCCTAGCAGATTCCTTTCCCAAGCACCAAAACCTGAAGTAATTAGTGATACACATTTAATGTTGCAGATGAGGAGATACAGATTGAGAATGGCAGGCTTGTAATGACAGATCCCTGTGGAACAGAGGAGTCACCCAGAAAGAAAGCTGAACCCAGAGAGGCTCATTATGAAGACTCTAACTTGGAAAGGCAGCAGGGCACGCCCCAGAACTCAGACTTGACTGAATTCAGAAGCACTCACATAGGAGGAAAGCTCTGTGACTCGGAAGTGTGTCAAAGTTCTGCTCTTACTGGACATCAGAAACCCCACTCGAAAGAGAAAGGCCACCAGTGCCACGAGTGTGGGAAAGTCTTTCAGAGGAGTTCACACCTTGTCAGACACCAGAAAATCCACCTTGGTGAGAAGCCATATCAGTGCAAAGAGTGTGGGAAAGTCTTCAGCCAGAATGCAGGCCTTTTGGAGCATCTCAGAATCCATACTGGAGAGAAACCTTTTCTATGCATCCATTGTGGAAAGAACTTTAGGCGCAGCTCTCACCTTAATCGACACCACAGAATTCACAGTCAAGAGGAACCCTGCGAATGCAAGGAGTGTGGGAAAACCTTTAGTCAAGCCCTGCTCCTCACCCACCATCAGAGAATCCACAGTCATTCCAAAAGCCACCGGTGTAATGAATGTGGCAAAGCCTTCAGCTTGACCTCAGACCTCATTCGGCATCACAGGATTCACACTGGAGAAAAACCGTTCAAGTGTAAAGTATGCCAGAAAGCCTTCCGACTAAACTCACACCTTGATCAGCACATAAGAATCCATAACGAAGAAAAGCCCTACAAGTGTACTGAGTGTGGAGATGCCTTCCGGCAGAAGTCAGGTCTCTTTCAGCATCAGAGACATCACCACAGAGGGAGACTGGCTTGATGAGTGTTTTCTCCGTGTAGAACATCAGAAGGAACAGAGAAGCAAAAAAACATGAGAAGAAGCCTCTGGCCATCTAGTATGGGAGAATGTTCCAGGGCCAAGTTGGAAGCCATTTGCTTCCCTTTCCTCTCCTCTGTGTTCCTTGAAGCTGGCCTAGAACTGCAATAGACAGCACTGTGTGAGCAAAGCAAAACAGCAGTCTTCACTACAAGATTTCGAAGAGGCTCTAATATGACAATTGCATGGTTGTATATCTCCACATAGCCTGTGACTCAATGAGGCCTTTGAGAATAGCAGCCAGTCAGGTGTCCCTGGGTTTAGAGACTGATAGAAAACAAGGGCAGGTTGATGTTTTAGATACCATAGCAACGGACTCATTTTCTCCACTGGCTTCACCTCCTCCATTTTGCTGGCCTTACCTCCACACTCCTCATGCATAACCAATGGAAGCATTTTAGAAAGCAAAGATGAACCTTTCTGGTTAACTGTAGTACTTGTCCTCATGTCATTTTACATTCTCCATCCCCATCCCCACCACATTTCATTGGTTCAAGTCACAAATCAGTTTTACTTAGACTATGGAATGAGTTATTTGAGTGAACTGTGCTGAAATAATCGTAGTAGCAACTGTTTTCCTTGATAACTTCAGTGCTGGTACAGGGACTGCTGGATAGATGCTCTTCAAAAAATCCAGTGACAGAAATCAGACTTACTCCTTTTAACATTGGAGATGCAGTTTTTAAATGTTGCTTGTTTTGGAATTTATTGAAAGCAATAAAGTCACTTTTTAGAGGAGGTCTATCTCTGTATCAGTAACAGCATGTTAACCATTAAGAATATTATAGTTTGGGCCAGGGATTTAGCTCAGTGGTGCTGTATGCAGGTACAAGGTCCTGAGTTTGATCCCAAGCACATATGGAGGGTAAACATTGCTTACTGGTCGGTAGTAGCTGCAACCTGCCAATGTGGGAAGAAGCCTGAACCCTCATAGTGATCAGAAGTTCAGCTGTGTGTAACTTAAAAGTAAAAAAACAGGATAGACTTTGTAAAGCTTTTTTGTCTCTAATAGAAAAGGTTGGAGGGCTAGGGATGTAGCTTATTGGTTCCACTGCCTGCCACAAAAGTGCAAGGACCTGAATTTGATCCCTGGTTACCCACCCCCACAAAAGGGTTCAAGATGACCAGGCCAGGACTGTTAAGGTGGTTCCATGGTACCATCCTGGTCCATGCCAGGAAGACCCTCACATGATCCATGATGGCTGTTGAAGCTTCAGACATCACATGTAAAATGGAAAAACAGCAGGACAAAAAAAGGCTTCTTCCAGTTGTCAGCACTCTGAGCTGCCTTTCCAACATATATATCTCTGGCCAAAACTTTGGGAAAGAAGGCAGGAAAGACTTTTAAAGCATAGTCATAATTGCTGAAACTTACAAGAAGGCTAGATGTCCTTCCATATTTGAAGGGATAATTAAACTGGGCCAATTTTTGCCAGCACAGTGTCACACTAATAATCTCATCTACTTGGGAGGCTGAGGCAGGAGGATCACAAGTTCAAGCCTGGCCTGGCAATTTAGTGTGACCCTGTCTCAAAAAATAAAAACTGGGGATGTAGCTCAACAGTAGCATGCCCATGTACCCTAAACAAACCATCTGGGCCTATTTTTTAAAGGTGTTTCCTATTTTTGCTGCTGAATTGAACATCTTTTTACATGTTAATTGATCATTTACAGTTCTTATTTTGTGAGTATCCTCCTTTGCTGACAGTCTTCTCTTAAGCAGTAATGCCCTTAAAAGTACTGTAAATAGAAGCTATCAAACTTTAAATACATGTCTTTAGACAATTCCAAGATCTATTTATCAAACAAAAATAAGAGAATGGAGATGTTGAATGGTGTTCCCTATGGTATTAATTAAAAAAAAAAATACAGCCGTGCACAGTGACACACTGTAACCTGAGCATTCTGGTTGGCTGAGCAACTTAAGCTAAGCCGGTCAAAGAGATGGGAGGGCTGGGATGTGTGAAGGCTCTGGTTCTATTCCCAGTATGGCCTGGAGTACAACAAGTATTTCAGAAGGCGTAGTTAAGTATTGTGATACACCACTGCACACTGCAATTCAGTACTCTAGCTTTTAAAAAAAAGTTATGTGAAAATCTCAAAACAAAAAAAAGATAACGTAGAAAACCATATTATTTGGTGGTTTAAGATACATAGACGTATACCTTTTGGCTAACTAAAATGTTTGAGTGCTATTATGTGTTAGCACCTTGAGATACTGAAGATTATAGTGGTGAGCTGGGGATTTAGCTCAGTGGGGCTGCTGCCTGCCATGCAAGCTCAAGGACCTGAGTTTGATCCCTGGTACTAAAATACATTACCACCAATAAAAACAGTGGTTATCTCCGAGGAACCACTATTTCGTATCCATGTAATCTGCGCTTTCCTTTGTGTGCGCAATCTGTGTAGTTAATTTACTCTTTTTGCATTATTTTAATTATCATTCTAGCTCTTATTCCAGCCCGTGAGGACCCTAGCAGATTTATCTTTGTCTTCCCCATCCTGCTAGTTTTTAAATGAAATAATTTACAGAAACGTGGATGTGCGAGGGTCGGCATAAAGGCCTGGGGCAAGCAAATAAGGGACAGCGGGGTACCTCCCGGCTCATCACAAGAGATGAGGGCCGCACTGCTAGATAGGAAAGGAAACGGGCGGAAACAACAGGGCCGGCGAAAGGAAATATCTTGACGTCCAGCCCCGTGCAGGAAGTGCTCTCCTGAACCTAGCCCGGCTACCGGAAGTGTTTTCTAGCCTTCTCCCCTCACCGGAAACACCTCTCTCTTTGAGCCCTGCGGCAGGAAGTGCTTTCTGGATTGAGTCGTGGCCTCTGGCATCTCAGCACAGGTAACTGAGCCGCGCGAAAAGTCCAGTAGTGTCAGCAGAGTACCAGGTATGCGCGGCTGGGAGTCCAAGAAAGCCTCTTTCGACGAGGTACGGGGATGAGGCGCAGCGGTCTATATTGCGCGACGGGGACAGCGAGGGAGGTGGGTGTAGTTTGCCGTGTTGGTTACGAGGACATAGGCTTGCGTGTGGGTGGTCGGGGCGATTACCCATGTACAAAGCATGTGGGTTTCCCTGGGGTGTGGGAATTTACATTAGAAGGATGATCCTAATAATGAGGTCCTCAGTAGATCGAGTGACAAGTCAGTACAATCCAGTAAAGAGCAGATCCTGGGGAGTTTGAATGTAATTCATGGAGTATGTGAAACTCTTTTTAAAAAAGTTTCTCTGTTCTCACACCACAACAGTCAACATAAGACTCTTCTATCCTCAGTAGGTGTAGCGATACACCCCCCACCACACTCCCAGGCAAGCAGTTAATGGGTTTTGGCAGGCAAAATAATATGTCAGATGTGCTGAATTCATGGTCACACCACGTCAAGGAATGGTCACTGTCATTTGCTAGGTCTGAGAGGCCCTGAGGCTGAAATAAAGAATTTAACCCATCCCTTTAAAATAAGTGTGCAGGTTCACTGACTCCTGTCACGGAAAAAGGATTTTCAGGACACATTAGTAAAAGAGGAATGAGAAGCATAGGATGCACTCAGGTGGAGTTCAGGTGCTCAGTGAGGCACAATACAGTTGAGAGCTTTTATATGTTTTATGTTTTGGGAGGTTGAAATCTATGGAGTTCGATTATCTGTAGTCTTGGTCTTAGTTTTTGTCTTAGTGGGTCAAAGAGGATGGCCCATCCCTAGTGAGATAGTGGTCTGTCTATGCCTATGGGAAATGCCAAAAGGATGGTCTATTCATGGGTGAAAAAGGACTGTTTGCAAGTAAAAAGGAATAGACAGACCCTTTTGCAGCTGAAAGGGAGTTGCCCAGGTTTGCTGTTTGGGGAGAAGTAAAAAAATAGAAAATAAACCAAGCTTGTGTTCTGAGGCTGCAGTTTTTCTTCAAAGTACAATTTTTTAAATCTTGATTTCTTTTTTTTCCTTTCTACCTAGCTTTATTTCTTCTATCCTATCTTAGAATGGAGTCTCAAACCAAAGAAAGAAGTTAGGAAAGTTTTATTGGAAGTAAGAATAGCTCCTAGATTTCCAGGAGGGGTCCTGAGTGGCTGGCAACATGGCCCCTCAAACCAGACCTAATTATAGATAAGTGGAGCATACGAATTGCTCAGTTGTTTAGTGGCCACCTAATCAGTGTGGGTAGCACTGTGGATTTAAAATGACTAAGTGGAACTTGGGCTTCTAACCCAGTTCCTAAATATACATGGTTTAAAGGAAACTGGGATTTTAAAGAACAAACTTTATTTTTATTTTAAATGCCTCAGAACTCAGGAGCTTTGTAGAGTGGCTACACCTTTCTTTTGTGGGATGTGAGCTATGTTTCAAGCTGCCTGAGGAAGTTTGTTCTTGATCCAAAGTCCAAGTTGACTGTCTATTCTTATTTTAATGTTCATCAATATGGTTGGTCACCCAACTCTATCTCAGGCCCTTCCCTTAACTAGCTGCCTTATTCATAAGCTAACTAAATGAAATAGTCTTTACAGGCTATCCCCTTGTTCAGTCCACTTATGATAACGTCATATCCTATAGTTCAAGGGCTCAGTCTCAGAAAACTCCCTCTCTTGTCAGTCATAAGCCCCAGATTATTTTATGTGTGCTTCTGACTGGCCAATTAGAAATCAAGGTTTCTACTGCCTCCTCCTTGAGCTCATGGAACACAGGGGGAAACTTATGTTTACTGGTGTATTATTATTAAGGTTATTACAGAGGTTAGAGATGAAGAATTGTGTAGGATAGAGGTTATGGTACGAAGAGCTTCTGTGCCTTGTGGGCATACCAACCACCAGGAACTTTTGCATATCTAGCTATCTGGAAGCTTTATTTACACTGTTTTTGTTGTTGTTGTTTGTTTGTTTTTTTATGGAGGCTTTGTTACTAGATAAGATCATTGATTGTCGACTTAACTTTCAGCTCTTCCCTCCTGTGGAGAGGTAGGGAGGACCTGAAAGTCCCAACCCTATAATCCTGCCTTGTTCTTTTAGGTGACCAGACTCTGTCCTGAAACCACCTAAGCAGAACTTATTTGAAGATTTCAAAGATTTTAAGAGTTGTATTTGAGGAAACAGGGACAAGTACCAACACGTATTTTACAATATAGCAGGAGGTATGTTGAATGTGTCCAGAATTGTGCTTTAGAAACTATTGATCCAATGATAGAATAGATATTCAAGGCATACCACATAGAAAAGTATTTTTTACAGTGAATGAAACAGTGATAAGGAAATTAAAAGAAAATATAGTTTAGGAGGCATTCTGTGGAAATAATCTATATTCATTGTGATTAGATGTGGGGCATGGTATTAAACCTGATGCATGGAAGATGATGCCATCATTAGAACTGGAGAAATACAGACAGAGTTTAGCCTTAATGGGCTATGGTTCAGTTGGGCTGTGTTCAAATTATGGTGCAAGACAGGCCTACACCTGGAAGCATCCTGGTGGTGTTTCAGGATAGGAGTCATAGCTAAGTGTGGTGGCATAAGCCTGTAATCCCACCACTCAGAGCCTGAGGCAGGAGAATCACATGTTTGAGTCCAGCCTGTACAACTCAGTGAGACCTTGACTTACAAAAGGCCTAGGATATAGTTAAGTGTGAAGGCCTTGAGTTCATTCACTAGTACTGAAAAACAAAAAACAAAAATAAGATGTTGGTCAGTGTGGGAAAGGTGAATTGGAGCCAGATAAAGTTTTGAGGTTTTTTTCTATCTTTTTTTGAGACAGTATCTCACTGTGTAGTTCAGGCTGGCCTTGAACTCACTATGTGCCCAAGAGCTGGGATTACAGGCATGTATGTCCATGCCCAGTTCAAGCATTCTTATTGTTAACCCTTCCTCATATCCTATCACCTTTACCTCTGGGTTTAGCCTCTTCATGATCCCAATCTACTTCTGATTAATTGCATGTAAAATAGAGGCAAGCAGGCTCACCTTTTGAATGTGACCTGTACTGGGGACAAAAATATATTACATATGGCTTTGGAGCTCTGTGATTTATATATTGTGAATAAGTTCTTATGCTTTAGATGAAGATTTGTAAAAAACATTTCTGAAGTATAGACCTCAGCCTTTTCTCTAGCTTCTAAGCTCAACATGTATGAAGGTTTGCCAGGCTCCACTCCTGAAAATGAAGACAGTATCCTGAAAGTGAAGGTAGAAGATACCACCTGCGAGCAAGCATATGGCTCACAGGCACAGAGTGCCCACACTCAGGAACTCTGTCGACTGCAATTCCGGCAGTTCTCCTACCAACAGGCTCCTGGGCCCCGGGAGGCTTTGACTCAACTCCGAGAACTCTGCCGTCAGTGGTTGCAGCCAGAAATGCACAGCAAGGAGCGGATCCTGGAGCTGCTGGTGCTGGAGCAGTTCCTGGCCATCCTGCCCAGGGAGCTGCAGGCCTGGGTGCAGATGTATCCTCCGCAGAGTGGGGAGGAGGCCGTGACAGTGCTAGAGAATCTAGCAGCAGTACATGGAGACACAGGACAGCAGGTGATGGCGGTGGGGGGTGGTAGAAGAAGAAATGGATGATATGTGCCTCTTAATCTTTGACTATTATTTTTTTGTTTTGTTTTGTTTTGGTATCAGGAACTGAACTCGGATCTTGGGCTTGCAATGCAGGTGGTGAAACCACTGAGCTAAATTCCCGGCCCACTTTAACTTTATTTTGAAGTAATTTGTAACTTATAGATATACTGGGAGAATAGTACACAAAACTTCCGTGTGCACTTCAACCAGATTCCCCAGGTGTTAACACTTGTTTCATTATGTGCTCCATCCTATGCTGTTGTGAAGCAAGTTCTGTGTGCATATGTGTATGTACACACACACACACACACACACACACACACACACACACACTTATTTTTCTTGAACGATTTCAGAATTAACTGCAAATATTCTGTCCCTTTATCTTTAAACATTTTGGTGTTAATGTCTGAAGAGCAAAGATGTTCTTTTACAAAACCAAAATATAATTATCAAATTTAGGGAAATTAAATAAAATTATTATTATACTCATATAACCCTACTCCTGCTCACATTTTTCGATATTATCCCTTTGTTGTTCTTTATGGCAGTATTTCCTTTCATTCGGGGAAATAAGTCAGCATCACATTTAGTTGCTCTTTTCTCCTGACTAGATCCAGGGTACACATCTTGACAAGAATATCTACCACAAAGGTGACGTGTTTGGTGATGGTTTCTCCCATTACTGATGAGGTCCTAGTAGTGCCTCTCAGATTGGCTCATTAGAAAGTAATTGTTTCCCCTTTGTAATTACTATGTACCTTGTGGGAGACATTTTGAGACTGTGCACATGTCCTAGTCCTCACTGATCCTTTACCCACTGGTTCAGGCATTCTGACTTTGTGTGTGTGGAGAAAGCTTTGCCTTTCTTGCCTCCCTTGCTGTAGAATAGGGGCCAGCTCATATCAGGCATGCAGTCCTTATTTGCCAAATGAATGATTGAATGTATCTACTTGCTCCTATTTTAAAGAATCAAGTAAGGCTTGTTCTGTGTTCTGTTGGGGAAGTCCTAACAGTTGTGTGCTCTGGTTCCTACCAGGATGCCTTTTCAAGGTGAATCTTTTTGTCTCCAGGCCTCCTTCTACATTCAGGAACAAGATATGCACCTAGTGGTGACAGACTATCAAGGAGCCTCTTTGGAGAGTCAGAGCCTCCAGCTTCTGCCTGGGGTAACCACCTTGCCGAGTGAATCTCCACAGCTCTCCCAAGAAGTGAGTGGTGAGTGCCACAGGGTGAGTTAATGAGGACAGAGGAGCAGGCCAGCAAGAGATACACCACTTCCTAGTAGAAAGTTGGTTGTCTGTGTCCTCACGTTGTGTGTTTCTTATTATGTACACTGTGAAGTGATTACCACTAGCTACTGAACATATCTGTCACCTCACGGTTACATCTGTGTGCATGAGTGAGTGTATGGAAAGCATATTTGACATCTACTCTCCGCAAGATTCAAAAATGAAGTATAGTGGGTACAGTGACACACACCATTGTCCCAGTTTCCCAAAAGTAAAAAGTAGGATGGATCGCTGGAGGTCAGGAGTTCTAAGCCTATGTAGGTCAATAGAGAGACTTTCATTTTTAAAAAAATCAAGTATGCAATATATTGTTAACTGTTGTCAGCATGCTATACATTTGGTCTCCAGAACTTATTTTCTAGAACTTCACATGTATTCCCTTGATCTATAAAGATCAGAGTGGCTTAAAGGCAGGCTGTAGTGGATTTTGTGGTACAATACCCAAAGTGAAGCACTTATCATCAGCTTCTTTCTTCCCTTACTTTATTTGTACCTGTGATTTTAATTTTTCTTTATGTATATAAAAATGTGTCATTATTAAGCACCTTATAAATTCATAAGTGCTCCTCGTTTTTATGAGTGGAGACCCTAAAATTTTAGAATCTTGAGGTTTTGGTAGGGTGAAGAATCACCATACTTTTTAATCTCAGATACTAAGACCTGCATCATAGTTTGGATATTTAGCAAATAACAAGGTTTGGGGTGCTGGGTCACAAACAGAACACTTCTAAAGTCCAGCATGTCTCACTTAGGATTCTCAACTCCTCTATCCAGGGTTTGCTCCCCAAGGATCAACTTTTTTACAGGGAGAAAGCTCCAGAGAGAAGGCAGAAGTGCCTGAGTGTAGCCCACCCTGGATCCAGGTGAGTAGAAAACAGGCTGTGGGAACTTCAGTGCAGCCCCTCCCTCCTTCACCTGTCCTTTGCCCTTCTTTGCCCATACTCCTCATCTGAGAGCGTTTCCAGTGCATATGTCCTCTGTTCACGTTATCTCAGAATGTCACAAGAAGCTCTTGTTGATCTCCTATTTCCTCCTCTTACCCCATATATGGGAGGCCTATCCAGACCTCCATGTGAGAGTGATAAGGGGTAGGGTTTGGCCTTTAGTTTCAGAAAGCCCCTTCATTCGATGCAGAATGATTGATAATTTCTCTTTTGGGTTTCTCTAGTTTCTCCAACCTGTTGTCACATTCCTTTATATTCTTTGTTCTGCACATATACATGTAATACTTGGGGAGATTCTGTACATCCAAAACAAACTTTTATATTTTTTTCAAGAAATCAATTTTTTTGAAGCAAATTCTTTATTGGTACATTTTAGATATACATAATAATAACATTCATCACAGAGAATTTGTACCTGTACGTGGTATGTCTTCTTTTTTCCCCCATACCCCTTTCTGATGGACCTCTGTCCTCTGCTTATTTACAAATGCTTTGTTTCCATTTCTTCCTTCTGTTTTTTTTTCTTGTCCTTTCTTTGCTTTTTCCCCTGCTTCCCCTGCTCTGTTCAACATTTTCTTTCCATTTCCTAATATTTATTATATATTTTGTTCCTTACTTCCATGTTTGTCTTCTCACACCAGACAATTAGGTATTTAAATATGTGTGTCCAATTTATTTCACTTAAGAATATTGTCTAAAGATGCATCCATTTAGCTAGAAATATCTCAAGCTTCTCTTTCTTTGTGGCAGAATAGTATTCCATTTTACAAAACCACATCTTTATACATTTGTCCATTGATTGGCATTTGGGCTGTTTGTAAGATTTAGCTATTACAAACTTCATTACCCTATGGTTTGATAATATGCATTTGATAATTTCAGTTCCTTTGCATTTATTTAAGCATGTTCTGTTGCTAGTATTTGGTCTGTTTTGGAGAATGTCCCTGTGCAGCTGAGAATATGTATTCTGATGTGAAGTGGAACACTAGATCTCTACTAAGTCCATTTGTTCAGAAGTTTGGTTCAGTTCTGATATTTCTTCATTGATTTTTTGTCTAGTTGATCTATCTATTTGTGACTGTGGGGTATTGAATCTCCCATTACTGTTGTATTAGTGCTTATTTGATTTTTTTTTTTAAGTACCTGGAATTTTACTTGTGACCTTGTGCTTGCAAGGCAGTCGTGATACCACTGAGCTAAATCCCAAGCCCAGCTTATATGATTTTTAATATCTGTTACTTGTTTTATAAGTTGGGAACACTAGTATTTGTTGTGTATACATTTATGATTGTTTTCCCTTCTTCTTGGATTGTTCTCTTTACAAAGATATAGTAACTTTCATCTCTTAATCAGTCTTGGCTTGAAATCCACTTTGCAGATAGCTACCTCTGCTTTTTCCCAGTTCTTGTCACATGGAATATTGTTTTGCATCCCTTGACTTTTCATCTGTGAATCTCTTTTTGAATTAAATGTTTTTCTTGTATGCAGTATATTGCTGGATCTTGCTTCTTATTCCATTCTGCCAGTCTGTTTCTTTTGATTGATGAATTGAGACCATTTACATTGATGGTTATAACTGATATATATTGACTTATCCTTGTAATGTTACTTTCCTATTGTTGGTTCCCTTCCCCACCCCCCTCTGTTTAGTTGCTTACCTTGCCTGATGGATTCATTCTGTTGGGGTTCATGGAGCTATAGTCCTTGTTACCTCTTTCTAGAATATACTTCAGAACACTATGGAGTGCTGGTTTGGTGGTCATGAATTTCTTCAGGTGTTCTTTGTCATGGAAGTATCTTATTTTTTCATTAATTTTAAGATAGTTTTGTGAGGTATATCAGTCTGGGTTGAAGGTTGTTTTAGGGCTTGAAATATTTCACTCCAGGTTTTCCTTGACTGGAGGGTATGTGTTAAGTCTTCTGTGATTCTGATGGGCTTTCCTTTATAGGTTATTTGTTTCTTTAATGGCTTTTAATCTGTTCTTGTGTTGAATTTCTAGAATCTTGACAGTTATGTGCCTTGGTGTAGATTTATTTTGATCATGACTAATTGGTGTTCTATATGCCTCACTTATCTGTATGTTAGATTCCTTTCCCTGCTTGGGAAGTTTTTTGCTGTTACTTCTATGAAGAGATTTTTTAAAAATATCATTTATATTATCTCTCTTTTTTTCCCCCCTTGATACCAGGTATAAAACTCAGGCCTTTGTGCTTGCCAGGCAGGCTCGGTGCCACTGAACTACATCTCCAGCCCTATCTCCTGTTTGCTGATTGACTCCAGTGAATCTTATTTTGTTCTTCTTTGCATCACCTAGCAGCTATTGTATTGATATTTCATGGTACCTTGCTATTTTTAAGTTTTTCTTTTCATGATCACTAAGCACAATCCTTTCTTCTGTATCTGAGATTCTGTCCTTACTTTGGTTCATTCTGCTGCATATACTTTAGTACCAGGGATTGAACTCGGATCCTTTGGCTTGGGAGGCAGGCTGCAGCACCACTGAACTAAATCCCTGGACCCTTATGCATAAACTTTAAATGGAATTACTCTTCTGGATATCTGTTTGAGTCTCTTTCATGGATTCCATTTCTTTCCTGTTTTGGGTGTTCATGGTTTTCATCATTTTTTAAAACTCAGTTTTGATTTAATCCATGTCTGTTCAAGAGTGATTAATCTTGTCTTTATTATGGCCATCATTTCTATAGTTATCTGAAAAATTATTTCTGATTTAATTTTTTTCTACAACCTCAGTCATTGGCTTTGTTACTTCTTTTGTTATTACTTCAGAGAGTCTAAGTGTGTGGGTTTAAAATTGTTCCACTCTGCTCCATGGGTTTGCCTCTGAAAAGCTGAAAGTTCAGGGTTGTATCTTGTTAAAGTGTCTTGTTTTCTTCTTCCTTTTTTTTTTTTAAGTTCCTGCGTTGATGCTTATAAATTATGTTTGGCAAGTAGCTTTATTGGTAGTAGTTAGAACCCTTAGGAAGTGGGTACAGATGTCTTCTAGGTACCTGGCTTTTGGGTTTTGAGTCTGTTAGAAAATCCTACCTCTTCAGTTTATTGAAATGAGAAGTTTCTGCCTATCTGGCCTAGTCTCTGTTACTTTGGCACTGGCGTAGAATATAGTTTATGATTCTTAGGCAGTCTCAGTTTTGGTGGACCATGAAGAACAACTGATTAGAACAATAATGTCACTTTGGCTAAAGTAGTACAATCAGCAATAATAGTAGCATCAGATACAGCCTAGAAAATGACAAATGGTGATAACTTGATTTGCCTGCAACCTTTAACAGTGTTAATCACATTTGGAGTTGTAAAACAAACCCAAAAATTACATATAGTAAGTATGACCCCTGTATGGCAATTTACCCTTAGGAGAGAACATTTAAAGTGATTAGGGGGGATAAATAGAGAAATAGAAAAATAAGAGATGAGAAGCAAGACTGGAATACAAAGAAAAATTATGCAAACTTTGGGGAACTGAGGAAGAAGACAGGAAGGAAAGAAAAAATGAGATGAAAATAGAATAGAACAACAGAAAAACTTGAAACAATTTTTACAGTTACAGAAAAATAAAAACAAGGAAAAAAAGGAAACAAAGAAAACAAAAAAATGTTTACTTCAAGGTGTGTCCCTGGGCTCACTGGTAGACAGATTTGCCACACACGGACCAGATCCATGTTGACTAATCCCAACAAGCCAGCTGTATATTTATAGCAGGGTAGTGGATAATCCCAGGAAGCCTGGACCTTTAGTTCTGAAGCTCAGGCTGGTTTGTGGCTGAGGTTTGAACCTAGTTTGTTCAATCTGCACCACTCCTATGTCTCCTGCCCTGATCTTGGCCCCCTGCTGGCTTGAATTTGACCTTGACCTTCTGCTGACTTGAAACTCAGTTCCACCTCATCCCAAGGGAGCCAGCCCACAGCTGCTCTGATTACCAAGCTCATTTGGCCCCTCTACAGGATGGCTACCAGCTAGTCACCCTCTTCTGGGGAACATCTAAACCTGAATAACTCATCAGCCATTAGGGTCTGCTGTGTCCACTATTGTTTCACTGGTGTGTTTCTCTGTGGAGGCCTCTGGGGTTGCTGGTAGTCACAATGCGTCTGCAGGATTCAGGTGATCTCCCCAACGAGAGAGTCAGGGATGAGCGAGAATGTGCTGCTTACCAACTTCTTCACTGAAGACTGTCCTCACTCTCCCTGGACATCAGTTCTTCCTTCAGATCCTTGCTTAGTCCCAGAGACCCACTTCCCTCTTTCTCTTCCTCATATTGGTATATTCCAGCATCTGGACACCAAATCTCAGGGACGCTATTTGTCTGCTGTTCAGACTCTGTGATCTTCCCGATACTTTCTTTTACCTCCATATTCTCTTAGTGGTTTTTAAATTTTTCTGGTAATTTGGGTCTTTTAAAAATTAGGGCTCAGTAGTAGACCACTTGCCTTCCTTGTGTGAGGCTCTGGTTTCTACCCACAGCACTGCAAAGTATAAATAAATAAATTCTTTCCCATTTATATTCTGGTGCACATTACTGCCACATCAGTTTGCTTAAGACATCATTCTTACAGCAGTCCCTCAGTCTCTTGCTTCCACATTGTCTTAATCCCATCAGATCTAATGACTCCTGTTTTTAACACTCCTTTCTGAAAAGAAATGCATAGAAAATGAAACTACTTATACACATTTTAAATGTCAGCCTCATTGCCTGTAATTTAACACAAAAGCAAAGAAAAAGTGATTTATATGGTAATTGTGTTGTTTTTAGTGATTTATATTTTTTAAAAGTGTGTATTTCATAGAGTAGAATGCTTGGACATGACTGTACTTGTGAAAATAACAGAGTGCTTAGATGCTTGCACTGATGTATAATCAGTGAGTCTGAATTTTAGAAGAGTAAGATCAGAAATCCAGGAAGATCAAAAGGTAGAGGTGTAGCTGAGCAGTGAATGAAAACTAGTACTGAGTCAAATAAGAAACCAGAAAGAAAGAAGGAAATAATGCTAAGATGTAGATGTATTCTATCCCCTCAAATACCTAACCCCAGGTATTTCTTAGTGGGACTTGATTGGGCACTACGCTGTTTATAGATGTAATAATTTGAGGTGAGGTCACACTGGATTAGAGTGGCTCCTCACTCCAGTGGCTGGTGGGCTTGGGTGAAGGCCAAATCGAGAAAGGTGGTAAGGATGTGAGGGGACAACCACACAAGAGATCTACAGGATGCGTCCACAGGCCTGAGCTTTTAGGGTAGACAGTGAACACCAGAAGGTGAGAAAGGCCAGGAGGAGTCTCCCATAGAGTTCAGAGAGAGCAGAGCCCTGCAGATCCCTTAATAGAGGATGTTTCTGCTGTTTTAATCTCTCAAATTTGTGCTTTGTTATGAGAGCCCTAGAATGCCAATGTAGATTTCAAAGAAAGTTGCAAATTGATAAAGTGCTCATAAGGAGGGATGATAGTATTTAAATGAGGTAGGCTTTTTAGTATCAAAACTTTTTACAGTTCACAATGAAGTAATGTTGAGGTAAAGGGAAAACATCATCTGCCTTAAAATCAATCCTCTTGTCAAAACAGGCATGTAGTCTGTAAAAAGCAATAAGTGAGTGAAAAGGAAGAGTAGACTGAAAAATGAAACAAAATTAAGAGATTAATAAGCCATGTGGTAAACCTTCCAGGACAATGTCAGATAAAAATATGAAACCACAGACAACTCCCAAAATAAATAATTACAGAATACAATAAATAATTAAAATAAGCCTTTAATATAAAAGTGTATAAGTTTTCTAACTTATATGTCATTGCTGACTTTGAAATATTTTAAAATAATCTTTATGAGTGAAATGTGTATAATCTCTGAATTTATATTAACTTCTATGTCTGTTAAAAGGAGTCTTCAGACTCCATTATGTATTTGAGTTAAGTTTAGTTACATATACAGTAAGTGAAATACCATGTTGAAGTACTTGTGAACCACAGTAAGAAATGCTATCAAAACGGTGAGAATGACAGTTTTAGTGAGTCAGCTTTTGTGACAGTATCTTTTCTTCATATAAGCTTTTTTCAGTGAAACAGTCTTAAATTAGGGTTTTTTCAGTGTCATCCCATGAAACTCTTCACGGTTCTTTCTTAAGCAGCTGATTTATGCTGATTATAGGTTTTGTTCAGCAGGCCATTTGAAAGTCATGTAGGTTATTGGATGTTTGTTGTAGTTTGGGACTGTTCCAGGCCTTGAAGTTGGCCTCACCCTCTGGTAACATAGGCTTGAGCCAGTCCCATCATTGTTATATTAAAAGTTTCCACAGATTCAGAGTGCCCTGTGTCCATCTGTTCGGTGAGATACTCAACACCCTTTACAACTAGACCCGCATCCTTGCCACAGTGAAACCAAGAGGCTATGTTTTCCTTTTAGATGTCGCTGAAGTCTGAGAAGGAGCCAGGCCAGGCCTCTGCACTGGGAGAGTGGCCACAACCAAGTCTGGCTCCAAGGAACCTCTGTGGGAACTCAGCTGAGGAGACAGCTGCAGGCCTGATGAGTAAGCGTAGACCTCTGCCTGGTCCCCTTCACTGACTATGGCTGGGTTCTTGGGAACCCACACCACCTGTGGACCCAGCCCCCCATCCCCCACCCTTTCCCTTCTGTGGGCTTTATCTCCAGACTTTTCTCATCCCTTACCATTTTGTACCCTTTCTACTAATGTTATTTTCTGCTACTAATCGCCTAAGTTACTGATTCTTGTGGTCTTCACTGAATATCCCTCCCCCTCAGAGTCTTCTTTTTTGATTCCTTTTCTTTTCCTTGCCCATGAAGAGTTCCAGATAATTGGTCATTCTTGGGTATCCCTTTATCTTGGAAGCCATGTGAAAACTTCTGCCTGGCCCCTCTGTTCCTCAGAGGAAGTGTCTTCTCTTGTGCTCTGCTCTGCTGAGCCCTTTGCCCAGCTGATCTTCAGTCCCTCGATGTGCCCTTTCCATACTATGCCACATTTCATAGAATTGCTGAGACTGTACCCAACAAGCCTGTCAATCCCCTACCCCGGAGATTGTTTTTTTCTAAATTCATGAAACAGATGTTATTTAAATAATTAATGTGTTATTTTAGAAATGGTAACAAGAGGTGTTTTATTTAATGTAGAGCAAGACACCTGTGAAGAAATAGGACCAGGTGTCAAGACCTCAGAAGTACCCAGCAGGTGAGTGCCTGTGGTCCTAAGCGGCCTATTCCTGCAGACAGAAGCAATTAGACAGGTACTGGGGAAACCATTATGTCACAGTCTGCTGTCCTGGAATAAATAAGAGAAAATGCTGCTTTCACTTCTGTGATCACAGAGTTCCACACCAAGATGCCCTGTCAATATGTAACAGTTACACAAAACTTAGAGCTGACACACAGCTACCTCCAGGAACCTACCCTGTCTGGCACAGATACTGTGCTTTGTGCTTCCTTACATTTTCTTGGAGGCATAAATGGAGAAGCCAGAATGCAACGAATTTAGATGACAGCAAAAGCTGCCGGGGAAGCTGCTTTGAAAGTTAAGGAAGAAACATCACCACAGGAAGTGAGCTTGGGTAACAAAAATTCAGGTGTTTTCAAACTCCATCAGGATACAGGAAAAAATCCAAAGGAAAGTAGCTGACAAGAAATGGCAGGAGTAGGTGCTTCATGTTGTTGGTTGAGGGAACAAGATAAGTGTAACATAGGCACCTGTACAGCAGAAAGGGAGAGACCAAGTCACAGGTAGAGGTCTGGCTTCTTGTGAGGCCATTAACTTCTCAGAGACTTCAGAAAAGGGGACAAAGAAAACAACATGGGGTAATCAGCCTGAAGGGCAACGGGAGTTTGGTGAGAAAATGAATTCTCCTTATTGATGTTTGTCTTAGGGAAACAGGAAGCTAAATCATTCATTCATTCATTCATTCATTCATTTATTTTGATTTTAGGAATCGAACCCAGGGCCTCACCATGCACTCTACCACTGAGCTACACCATCAGCCCCTAAAATGGAAATCTCTTTGAAGCTTAGTAAGAGAATTGAAATTTTTCATTCAGGTAGTGAGCACAGAGCCATATTCCAGTAAGGGAAGGGACACAGTATTTAGTGACTGAGCATAAGGCTATAACTGGAGACTAGACATGAGACTGAAACCATGACTCACACTGCTGTAAGAATAAAGTATCACCTGGGTATGCTAGCAGACTCAGGAGACTGAGGCCTTAAGACTGCAGGTTTTAGCTCAGTTTAGAGACTTGTAAGATCTTGTCTCAAAGAAGGCTGTTGAGGTGTGGTGGCTTGGGCTACATAGTGACATCCTCTCTTAAAAGGACTGGATATGTAGCTCAGTACCACAAAAAATGAATATAAATATAATTTTTAAAAGGGTTGGAGAATTATGGAGGTGCTATAGTGATTACCTAGAACGTTTCAGGCCTTGGGTTGAGGCTCTGCTGCAACTAGAAATAATATACCTTGCTCTTTCATAAAACAAAATCGCTGGAGGTAGGCTGTGGGTTTAGTGTAATGACTCTACCATATTGTCAGTGATCCAGTCACCTGCAGATCCATACCGCTCTTCTAGTCTCCTCCCAACCTACTTCCTTATCTCACTCTTTTTCCCATTTCCCACTCCCAGATTATTTTTGTACCATATCAGGCTTTATCCATTTTCCATTTGCCTCAAGAATGTTCAGTAGTGGGCACTTGTGGGTATGAGATAACTTGTAGATTATAGGCCTACCCTGACCCCTCAAATTTGCCCCCTAATACCTCACTTTTATTATTTTTGCATCACTTTAATGTATGGATAGTCTTTGGGAACAAAAGACATTATTCTATTTATAGCATTCTGTTCTTAGTAGTGATATTTTCACTTAGAAAATTTACTAATTCTTGATTGCTCAAATCCTAGAAAATGTAGCATTTCCACATGTGATGTTAACATTGTTCTTAAACAGTTGTCAGCTGAAGATTCATTTGGTGAATCTGATTTTTCCAAAGTAGATAATTCTGATGAATTTTTGGATAGCATTCAAAAGATAATATGGTAAGGCCTCTATCCCACTCAGAATCTGACAGAAATAGTCCCACATCAGCTAACTTGGGTTGTACTCTGAAATAGTCAGCTCATGTTATAATTCTATGTTAGAGGTGTGACTTTACACACATGCTTGGCAGAAAAGTTGTCAGATACTTCTGACCCACTACTACTGAGGAATTAGTTTGAAAAATTACCAGTGAAACAAATCCCGGGCTGTCTTATTGGCTTCAGAACTACCAGGTCCAGAGAGATTTTCGCAATGGATAAATTGGAAGACACTGACAATAACAAATTGAATGTCTGTTTTGCAATAATGTTACTGCGAGGTATTGTGTAGAAACCTGAGCTGGAGATGTTTTGGTCAACAGTACCTCTTTTGGATACGGCTTATCTCAAGCTAATTATGACTGGTAAAAGATTTTTACATTTGCTTCACTATCTGCATTTTGTCAACAATCCTTCCATATCTGCTGATCAAAGGCTTAGACTTCATTACAGAAGATCAAATCTGTGTTTGACTTTCTTATAAGTTTTCAACTGTATATACTCCAACAGAAATGCTATAGTTGATGAATTGATGCTCAAGAGGTTGTTGGCTATGAAGCAGTATAGCGTGACAAAATGAACAGGATTTGTTCATTTAAATTTTATGTACTTTGTGAAAGTCAGTCTGGTTACACGAGGATTGTACTTATTCACACAGGACCCTTATGAATTTGAAAGATTCAACTGATGGTGTGAAATTATTTCTCATTGTTCTTACCTTGGTCAGTGACCTTCTTGGTCAAGGATACTATGTCTTCCTTGGTAATGTTTATACGTCTCCTATACTTTTCAGAGAATTACATCAAAACAGGACTGAGGCTGTTGGGACAGCTCCTTTGAACAGAAAACAGATGCCAAATGATCTTAAAAAAAGGATTGCCAAAGGGACGACTATAGCCAGATTCTGTGATGAATGTGTGTCACTGAAATGGTTTGACAAAAAGGTAGTAACAGTTTTGTCAACATTCTACAATGATACTGTGATTGAAATAGATGGCAGCAGTCGAAACTAAGGAGCCATGTGTCATTGTTCAATATAATGAGAGTATGAGACCAATGAGCTCAGCTGAGTGGATGTTTAACTTCTAAGCAACTGAGTACAAAAGGCCCACAGTTTGGTATACCAAATTCTTTCACCACCTCTAAACGTGACATTGCTGAACTCTGAAATCTTGTTCAAGGACAGCCCTGAGCACAAGATCAGCTATGTAAATTTCAGACTGAGAGAATGCTGGAGCAGGATCATAATCCAGGGCAGCCTCCTCCAGGTTGCCCATTCTCTGATGTCACACTTCATCACCTGTCTGGAAGACATTTCCCCAAAAGCGTACCAGCAACATCAGAAAAACAGAATCCATCTGGTTGCTGCAAAGTTTGCTGCCTACACTATAATGACAGCAAGAAGATTTGGAGATAAATGAGATATTTTTGTGCTGAATGTGATAACTCTGAATTCTGGTGTTTCATGGTTTGAAATTTATCACCCACAAAAATTTATTAAATACTGATCATCATACATTTGTTACCTTATGATTAGAAAGAAATTTTGTTTAGACATCATATCCAAGAACAAATTTTTTAGTTTATTTTTTTCAATGAAAACAACTTGGATTTGTTTCAGCCTCAAAGTGTATGTTTATGTACAATTCAATGAACTCTGGCAATGAACTGCACTTTTCCTAAGTGGGAAATGGATCAGTGCACTGTAGCTGTTGGAATTTAGAATCCTGCAGTGTAATGAACCAGATTCAGGGAGATCCCTGAAACTGATGATGTTGGGAGCCTGCAATGGAGTTGAGTGAGTAGGGACGCACATACACCTTGAAGACACTCAAGATGATGACTGCTTTCGTCAGTAAACATGTAGTGGAAATTAGATTAACATGCTTTTTTTCCACTGCTTTTTCCCTTGTGTCTTCTAAGAAGTTGCATAAATTAGTACTTTTTATCCTCATAAATTTAGCTTTCTTGTTTTTGTTTTTGGTACTGGGGATTGAACTCGGGTCCTTGTGCTTGTGAGATAGGCGGCAGAACCACTGAGCTAAATCCCCAGCCCTAGCTTCCTTCTTTGTAAATCTCCTCACAATCAGTTCAAGTACAGTGAGTTTGAGTTTCTTTTCCATTTCTTCTCAGTGAAATATACCACTCAGATGAGTATGAAACTAAGAGGGTAAGTCCTTCCATGTTCAGAAATTCTGTGATAGTTATAAGGAGGCCCAGTACATAACAGCCTCCCCTAGCCAAGAACCAGCTGGCAAGGAGTATGGAGTAAAACAGGTTTTGGAAATTCAGTTTCCTCTTGATGCTAGCTTTACTACATGAAGCAGTTTAGGGGCAGAGGCAGAGCCAGATAGGCTCACACTGGCAGAGGAGTGCAGGTGTCATCCTGTTCAGGCCTGTCTATTGCACTGGTGGCAAGCTTAAGGAGCATCCTACTCCTAAAGAGGACAGAGGGAGGGGCTGTGCTACAGAGGCCTGGTATATTCTCCCAGATTTAACTGCTTGGGTCATGAGTGAATGAGAGGTGGAGAGAGGCCAGAAAAATTAACTCCAACCTCTTCCCAGTGGAAACAATGAGAAGTGAGAATATCCCCCTTGCCATCCTTCACATTTGTGCAGAGGAATGAGATTTGGGATTTCTGTAGCATGTTCTTTTTTCTTCCCCAGAGATTGTGTGCCTCACATACCTTGTAGTTCTGCTGTTCCTGAAAAGACAGCCTTGAATTTGAATACTGTGGATCGTCACCCACCCCGTGACTCCTGGGCCCGGATGCACATTACATCCTTGGAATATGCAGCAGGAGACATAACTCGAAAAGGGAGAAAAAAAGACAAAGCTCGAGTTAGTGAACTGCTTCAAGGCCTGGCGTTTTCTGATGACTCAGATGTGGAAGAAGACAATGAGCCTGACACACAGCCTGTTGAGAAGAAGCTGAAGGTAGTAGGCATACCAAAGAAGAGATGGACTAAAAGAGACCTTAATCCCCACTTTCCATGCTGGTCAGCATTGGATTCTGGACTTCTGAACCTGAAGAGTGAAAAATTGAACCCAGTAGAGCTCTTTGAATTATTTTTTGATGATGAAACATTTAACTTGATTGTTAGTGAAACAAATAATTATGCTTCTCAAAAAAATGTCAACTTGGAAGTTACAGTTCAGGAAATGAGATGTGTATTTGGTATCCTGCTTTGGAGTGGATTTGTAGGATGTTCCAGAATGGGAATGTATTGGGAGATTTCTGATGCTGATCAGAACCTGGTTAGAGATGCAATTAGAAAAGATAGATTTGACTTGATTTTTTCATACCTCCATTTTGCAGATAATAATCACCTAGATCAAAAAGATAAGTTTTCAAAATTGAGACCGCTAATAAGGCAAATGAATAAAAATTTCCTCTTATATGCTCCCTTAGAAGAATATTATTGCTTTGGTAAATCTATGTGTGAATGCTTTGATACTGACCAGTTTCTGAATGGAAAGCCTCTTAGAATTGGTTATAAAATCTGGTGTGGTACAACCATACAAGGTTATCTGGTTTGGTTTGAGCCCTATCAAGAAGAATCAACTTTGGAGGCAGACAAGGATCTTGACCTTGGGTTAGGTGGCAATCTAGTGATGAACTTTGCTGATGTTCTTTTAGAGAAAGGCCAATATCCCTACCACCTGTGTTTTGATAGCTTTTTTACAAGTGTGAAATTGATGTCAGCTTTGAAAAAGAAAGGGGTGAGGGCAACTGGGTCAATTCGTGAAAACAGGACTGAAAAATGTCCAATTATGAATGTAGAACATATGAAAAAAATGAAGAGAGGGTATGTTGATTTCCGAGTGGAAGAAAATGATGAGATAATTCTGTGTCGTTGGCATGGCGATGGCATTATCAGTTTGTGCTCCAATGCTGTAGGCATAGAACCAGTCAGTGGGATAAGTGGTTTTGCTGATGATGAGATCCTTCAGCTAAGTCAACCGGCCATTGTGAAATTATATGAGGAATGCAGGAAAGGTGTATCTAAAATGGATCAAATTATTTCCAAATATAGAGTGAAGTTAAGAAGCAAGAAATGGTACTCCATTTTGGTGAGCTACATGATTGACATAGCCATGAACAATGCATGGCATTTGCACAGAGCCTCTAACCCAGGGACCTCTTTAGACTTCCTGGAATTCCGAAAATGTGTTGCACATTTCTACTTGGAACACAATACTGATCTGTCAGATTAAGGCAGATGAACAAAATTCAGACACTAAGAAGCCAGAAAAATTAGAGAGTAACCGGGCTGGGGATTTAGCTCAGCGGTTTGGTGGCCTGCCTTGCAAGCGCAAGGACCTGAGTTCAATCCCTGATACCAAAAAAAAAAAAAAGAAAGAGAGAGAGAGTAACCCTACCAAAACAAATCTGATGTGTATAATGTAATTATTAAATGCTATTTTTTTAAATCATATAGTTTTAAGTAATACTGAAAATTATCTTAAAATGTTGAATTCCAATGGTACCTTTTTCTGTGTCTGGTTTTGTCTCAGATGTGGGAAATCATTTGTTGAATTATTTTGTACATTAAAAGAATGAAATCTTGCCCACCCCTTTATTTTTCTTGAGGGCTGGATGGGACTGTTTAAGGCATTTCACTTCAAGTGTTTTCTGCTTTAAGATCACCTCCATTTTCTTGCTTAGTCTATTTCAACCTTGGATTCTTTGTCTGAAATACAAAAAGAATTGGTCAACTTTTCTCTATACTGGAGGAGGACAGAATAAATTAAGTATTAAATTGAATATTTATCTATTATGGGCTGAGGGGAGGGGATATCAGCAGCAGTACAGTAAGTCCAGAAAGAAAGGATGTTTTAGAATTGTTGGTCAGAAGGACAGAATTATCCCAAAGGCTACAAAGTTCCAGCACTGCCCTTAGAGTTAGTAGCCATGGAAAACGACATTTTAAAAAGAACCTAAAGAAGCCTATGAGCACTTGTCTCAGAATTTTAGAAAGTGCTGGGATATAGCTCAGTGAAAGAATGTTTACTCAGCACATGGAAAGATGTGGGCTCAATTCCCAGAACAGGAAAACCAAAAAAACTGAACAACTATGGGATCGCCACCACCCCCACCCTCCCCATGGGCAAATACAATGCACACAGACACAGACACACACACAATAGAAATGGGGAACTCCAAATTAAGAGACATGATAAGGCTGGGGGTGCAGATCACTGGTAGAATGCTTGCTTCCCATGTGTGAGGCCCTAGATTAAGCCCAGGTACCACCAAAAACAAAACAAAGATACCAAGATGAAAGAGATAGCATCATTATGTGGAATCCTGATTTAAACATGTTAAGAACTGGATGTTTAAACACCTACTTGACATATAATGAAGGGATTGAACTCAGCTCCAAGCTATGTCTGCAGCCCTTTTATTTTTGAGGCAGGGTCTCACTTAGTTTCCCAGCATGGCCTGTAAATTGGAATCTCCCCTTTTCAGCTGACTAGCTAGATGGTCATACACCACTGTGCAGAGCGCACATACACTACTGTAAATATTATGTATTTCTAAAAAGTAAAAACATGTTATAAAACATAACTAGATGCTGGGCACAGTGGCACATGCCTATAATCCCACCTACTTAGGAAGCTGAGATGGGGATTATGATTTTGAAGCCAGCCTGGTTTACATAGGAAGACCAGTGAGATCCCTATCTCAAAAATATATCTGGGATTTGCTTCAAAAGAAGGCAAAATAAATGGAATGGTATATAAGTGAAAGAAGACTGGTCATGAGTTGCGAAATGTTGAAGGTGGATATATTACGATTATTATACTTCTCTTTAAACTTGTTTCAGTGTTTTAAATTCTCTGCAATAAAAATGTGTATATTTAGTGATATGTATACTTGTGATTAGAGGAAAGTACAAGACACTTCACTGCAAATCTGTTCTTCCAAATAATGGAAAAAAAATGACACAAAATGTCAAGTAATAGAATTGCTAAATAAACTCAATTCTAAGTAGGGTAAAAGTTTTTAAAAAGAATCCATCCACGTTGGAAACTGGATAAAGAAGTTGTGGTTTTTCTATAAAATAGAATATTACTCAGCTGTAAAGAACGAGAAAATAGATTCATTCATAGGAAAATGGATACATATTGAAGATATACTCCTAAGTGAAATAAATAAGTCACACATGTGTAAATACCGAATAGTTTCCCTGGTGTGAATAATCTGCAACAATGCATAAGATTCTAATAAGATTACTGACATTTAGAAATGGGAAGAAAGGAGCTAAAGGTGTAGGGAAGGTGGGATGGGCAGGGGAAGAGTAAAAAGGGAAAAGAAAAAAATGTGAGAGAATGAAAAGATGAAAATAAAGTGTTTGTAGATGGGGAGGAGAGGAGGGGGTGAAGGGAGGGCAGAGGTAAGGGGAAAAAATGAGAATCAAGACTTGTCATGTAGAGGTACAAGATCCCAACAATGAATGTAACTGTACTGTATCCCTAAAATGTACCAATAAACTCAATTAAAGCTGAAAAAAAAAAAAAAGAATCCATCCAGTCAGGTATGTGGTGCATGCCTCTCATCCCACTACCCAGGAGGCTGAGGCAAGAGGATATTGAGATGGAGGCAAGCCTGGCCTACAGTATTAAGACCGTTTCAAAATTAAGATAAAAGGGACTAGGGAGGTAGCTCAGTGGCAGTCTTGTCCTAGCATGCATGAGGCCCTGGATTCAATCCCCAGTACCACAATCATCATCATTTCCAGTACGGTCTGACAGCACTGGTTTAACAGTTTATACCTTCTATAGGTCAGGGAGACAAATCAATAATCAAGAGGTTCTGGCCCCATGTGAAACAGGGTCAAGAGCACAAGAGTGCATCTGCCACCTACAAGCTGTGCACTTCAAGCAACTTTGCCATGGTGCTCCCTGGCTTCCCTCTCTTTAATACCCATGTTCAGATCATGTTTGAGAACCCAATAAGTTAATACAGACCAAGCAACTAGAACAAGGTCATGCATGTGGCAAGCTCTAGAAAAGTACCAATCCTTACATTTATTCCTGAAATGCCTCACTCTACTCCTTCAGCCTAGAGCCTGTGATGCCTCAAGCTCAGACTGCTGGGAGAAGTCATCCTCTCAGTGACCTCATGTACAGCCCTCCTAGGGCACAGGGACAAGTGGGAGACTGTCTCCCCTCTCCGTCCCCAACATCCTGGAACCTCCTGCTGATTATGTACCTGGCTGTTCCCCTCCCACTGCTATCATCCCTCCATACCGGTCACCCCACAAATGGACCAACAAGGGTTACCACATTACCTTAACTGGAGACCTTCCTACTCACCTACCTAGTCTTTTCAGTTACATGACTAATAACAAACAAATGTGTGATTCTGCCAAACATACCTGTCTACCCTTCTCCAGCCCTTCCCTCCCATCAGGCTTTTGAACCTCCTGAATCCTATAGTTGCCCTGGTTGCCCATCTTCTCACACTTACCCACTATCAGCATACAACCCTGTAGGAGTCTACTCTTTCTATCCCAAAAGGTTTCTGCCCACCTCTTTCCCTGGTACTCTTGGGGCACAGCTACATATTACAAATAACAATGTAACACCTATATATGTGGCATCACATAGACTCAAAAGTTACTACCTCCCAGCGCCTGGGATTTAGCTCAGTGGTTCTGCTGCCTGCCTTGCAAGCGCAAGGACCCAACTTCTGTTTTTTGGGGTTTTTTTTTTTTTTTTTT